GGTGTCTTAAATAAGTAGCACAAATGTAGTTTAGAAATTTTTAATGTAATTACTTTTATTACTTAATAAAGTTTCTATTTTGGCATAACAAAAAAAAAACAAAAAAAAATTCTTACAATGCAACATACTTATCACTAACTCCTTTTATGCAACTCAAGTGCCTAGTTTTATCAATAAATATTGTAATGGATAATTTTATGAAATTTCTTTTTTTGATCCAATTGAGTATAAATTGAGCATCTAATTAAATTAGGTGAAAGCTATGGACACAATACTCCCATGATAAATCCAGTTAGTGTTATATATAAAAGCCTCTCTAACCTAACTCTAGTGTTGATTCTGTTTATTGTTGCACATATAAGTATAATTTTTCTTATAATACATTTTTTTATGTAACATATAATTTCTAATTTAAAGTATTACCCATAAAAAATTTAGGTTATATCATAATTAAAGCAAAAAGCAATTATTTAATGTATATCAGGCTTTAAAACAAACATCTGTTTTGTCAAAAATTAGTTATTTCTCAAAAATTAACATATAAATCACTTTTAATGATCTAATAAAAAGTTTTCATTGAGCAATTTTACTATATAAACTGCTCCTTTCTAATCTCATACCCTAATCCTAACCTAATATAAACAAACTTTAAAAATTTTTGCTGTACCATAAATCTGGCATACATTGAAGAGTTGCTTTAAAATTAAGGTAGTAAGTATTTATAAATTGATGAAGAGAAGATTTAAATAATTAATCCTTATAACTTGGCTATATTATAATAATCAGAAATTTTACCTAATATTCTGAATACAGCACCAAACAGTTAAAGTTTGATTACCTGCATCCAATATGCACTTATCATTATATAGTTTGATTTTACAAAGTGAATGCTTCTTTTCAGAACATGAATTCTAAATTCTAAAACACTAGTATGAATAAAGATTCTGCTTTTTCTGAATGAATAAATACAATACTACATTATAATTTCTTTATATATATTTGCAATTCATGCTGATACCTTATAAATTTACATAAAAATCAACTTCTAATAAATTCAATTTCTTTAAAAAAATTAAATGTAATAATAGATAGGAATGTGTTACAAAACCCTTTTTTTAAACTTTTTTCACTCATAATTTGACTAATTCTTCCTAGTATATTAGCAGGATTAGTACTTGCTAATGTGTTTAACCTTGAACTAAGTAAATTAACTATTATTATCACAATGATTCACATGATAGTCATAGCAATTCCCTTGCTGATAATTAGTTATAGTTCAGTTAGAAAAATGGTCATTGCAGTATTAGCGAGAACTTTATTTTCAACTCTTCCGATAGTTTATGCATTTATTAACATAAAGGACAATCTAACTTCAAAAATTATTATGATTGTCACATATTTTGTTGAAAATGTGATAGGAGTTCGAATATTTATGCATTTATATTATAATGTAAATTGCAATAGATCAAAAAATTGGAAAAATCTTGGTATTATTCTCATGATGATAATTAGTGCTGGGAATATATATATTTATATGAAGATTTTAACTGAAATCAATCGATATTTATATTTACAAAAAAATTCAGTAGTTCTACTATTACTTTTTTGGCTAGATTTAAAAAGCAAAGAGAAAGAGAAAAAGAAAAAGAAAAAGAGAGAAAGAAAAAGAGAGAGAAAAAGAGAGAAAAAAAAAGAGAAAAAAAGAGAGAGAAGATAAACAAAGCAAGTGTTAAATATATTTTATATCATCATACAACTGAACCTACTCAAGATGATTATTTAGACAGTCTAAGCAAAAACTTAGACTATCAGGACAAGTTACGAATTTTGAATTATATCTTTAACAATTTCAATATTATCCACAAAGTATTCAATAATAATGAAATAGTTAGCTCCAAACAAAGTTTTGGACATCTATATAAGGCATCTGAAATTTTAGACAGACAAACTTACAACCAGGCATTAAATATTTATTCTTTTGGAATGCTTATGTTTTATCTTTTATCAAAAATATAGTTAAGAATTACTATTACATTTGGAAATTTAAAGAATACATATTTTATGATAATTATTTGCACCCACTTGGAAACTTATTAAAAAATGCACTGATTACAATCCAAACAACCATCCTACAACTGAAGAAATTTCAAGGTTCCTTTTATTTTGGCTTAAAAGTTTTGGTAATAAGAAGCTTTACTATTTGAGATATGCATATTATATACATATCTTATAATTTTAAAAATACTGTATAAGCATAAAATAATTCCTAGGAGTGTTATTTGAATTAGAACCAGAATTTTGGCCAAAATTTATAAATTGCACTCTTGGGCATTATTTTTTGCTTGTACAATATATATCTAGTTTATTAGAACTTAAAGCAATATCAATAGGTACTTAAAATATAGTGCTAGTATATCATTAGTTTGAATTTATTTTTTATAATCAAAAATTATCTTTTAAACTGTTTAAAATTCAGGGCAAATTTGTTCTAAAATTTTTTGATAGTCACATATATTACAAATATATAAAAAATAATAATATAAATAATACAAGACATTATAAAGAAATATAAAAATATTGGTTTTATTATTTATTTATGTTCATGGTACTTAATAAAGTAATCTGGGCATTGCTTATTAATACATAAAGGAATATTATATACTGTACACCACATATTACTTTGCAGTGAATTTTTGTTATTTTTCTATAATTAGCTATATATTGAAACCAACACCAAATACAAGAACCTCTATTTTTATGATATTCTGAATAATGGCTTTGTGGATGCAATTGTTCAATAGGTAAGTCAAATTTTTTTGTAACATAATATTGTTTTTTTTCTAAACTTTGATTATGTAATTCTGATTGAATTATTGCTCTTTTTTTTCATGTATGTAATATTTGGCCCCTTTCCAATGATTCTTCAACTAAACTCCACACTAAATTTATTCTGAGATCTTTATATATTATAGCTAAATTGAGAGCTTTCGAAATACAGAAGGTATTAACAATACTAGTATCAAGAAGTCAAAAAAATAATGGCATCCAGGTACAATGTACAGGTACTTGTATACCATAGTAGTCTCATAATTGGTCTGCTATGTCTACATCATCCATATGATGGTTGTAATCATCAATTATTAGAAGAATTTTTTGCTTGCTTTGTTAAATACACTATGCACTTTGTTAGTATTAATTCTAGTTGTTTGTAGTCATCATCTTTCTCTTTCTATTTAGTATTCTTTATCTGAAATTTCATGTATAGATGTTAATATTGTTACTGACCCATTATCCATTCAAAACACACTAATACATCATCTACAACTATACCAGAAAGAGTATCCCATTCTATTTTTTGTAATTTTTTAATTTTTAAAAAAATAGAAAAATTTAAAGTATTATTTCTTACTGTTCCACAACCACTATATCCATTTTCTCAGATATAACTAAGCAAATTTATATTTGTAAAAAAATTATCCATATAGATATCAAATGCTTTGTTCTTAGGAAGTTGCGATATTAGATGATACACCTGCTAGCCAATTTTATTAACATTCAGAATTGGATTAATTTCAGAATTAGGTTTGATACAGAAAGTAAAAATAAAATAGTAAGTATATTCTGAATTACATAATGAAAGTATTTTATATCCTTCTGGTATAAGTTTATTTTTAATTCATACTGTATGACTACTTCTTTCTTTAAATTTAGCAATCATTTCATCAATCGAAACTTGTGATTTTGGTAAATAAATTGACTTAGAAACTTCTTGGATATATATAGCTAAAGGCTTAACATTCAAATACCATGGTAATTGTGACACTTTTGCTTCAATTTTCGAAATATGAAGATAATGTTTTATCTTTTAAATTTATTTATTTTTTAAAAAAAATTTAAATTAAAATAAATTAAATAAAAATTTAAAACTAATTAAAAATAAATAACATAACTTGTTCAAATTGAACCAATATTATATATTTAGTAATTTTATAATATGGATATTTCTAATCCATTTTCTAATAATCTTCTTTACTTGGTAGTTTAAAAACACTCATATAAATTATTAATGCTAACCATATCAATAACTCTTCCATCATTAAAAATACCCACTCACACTCTTTACACACTGGTTTTGTTACAGCATAGTAATTTGTATTTTCAACAATCATATTTAACTGTGAATCAGAGAAAAATAAATGAAAAATTGAATGTGGTGTAACTTCAATAGTTAAATTATCAGGTAATTTAATTAAAGAGGAATGATATGGTTTTGTATATTTAAATTTTTGAAATAAAGGTGGTGATGGTAAATTGAGCAAATTAGAAGAATGAGATATATATATATTTTTTTTGCTTGACTACTTTTATTATCTCTTTTTTTTTTTTTTACTATTTGTGACTTCATTTTCACTTTCTTCATCAGTTTCTTTGTAATTTTCAGTTTCGAGTTCTCATCAGTATCATCGTCTGTGGAATCATTGATTTCAATTTCATTTTTGATGTTGGTAATAATTCATATAAGCTCAAAGGTATATGCATCATTATCTTCAATGTTGGCACTCATTTTAATCTAAAATAAGAATGCGTAAAAAAAAAATAATAAATAATTGATAAATAAATAGAAAAAAATATTAAAGATAATTGAACCTGAATGATGACCTGATAATCGAATCTGAATGATCATAATTCCTGTACGATGTAAGAAATATGATCGAACCCGATGATCATAATTCCTGTACAATGCAAGAAATTTATGAATTTCTAAATAAAGTAAAATTGAGGTTTTCAATTAAAACCTTAATTTATAAGTAATACAAGTGCTACATGAGTTACCAATAAAAATTTAAAAATTCAGGGCAAATTTGCAGGAGAAACGGTTAAAGGGTAACTATTATTTAAATATCAATATCTCATAATATAATAAACAGAATTTAATAATTTTGGTACCATTCGATTCGCCTCGACAAGACGGTTCGAATGGTATCAAATATGTTAAATTCGGATCACTATATTGTGAGATATTTGCAAAAACTATTTGCGGTGCAGAAAACTTAAATTTTTGTAGAGCTGCGTTGAAAATAGTTTTTCGCGAATATCTCACGATCTAGCGAACAGAATTTGATTATTTTGTTACCATTTGAACAGTCTCATTGAGACGAATTGAATGGTGCCTAAATCATCAAATTCTGGTCACTGGAACACGAGAAATCAATAAAAACATTTTTTTAAAAAAAATTCAGGGCAAATTTGCAGGAGAAACGGTTTAAGAGATAGGTAATTATTCTTGAACCCGAACTAATTTTATATATGACGTAATAACATTTTAAACTGGATTCAAAAATCATTACCCTTATGAAAATTGAATATTTTAACTCATATGTTAAAAAAATGGTAGACTACGCTAGAGAGTCACCCAATTTAAAATCTGTTTCAGAATAATAGGCTTTAACGTTCTTTTTAACATATATCTGTTATTAATATTTCAAAGCCCGTAAAACGTTCCATTTTAGATGTAAATTTTTTTTTTTTTTTTGCAACACTCATATGCTATAATATCGCACACCACAAATTTTCCATTGTTTGTGTATGAATTTCAAAAGTCTAATTAATAATTATGAATTAGATACTCAATCTACATCAGGATCACTTCATAACAACTATATAACTATTATTATGTACATAGAATATACATTTCTAGCTATGTCAAATATTTATATTCCATATTATAATTTTACAAATATCCGAGAAATTGGAAATGGAGGTTACGGAACAGTGTTTTATGCCGAGAATATATCAGATAAAAATAAACCT